CGCTCTTTAGACTGACAGTACAGTGCACCTGGCAAGCACAGGCGTTGGTCTTTGGGAGGAAGACTGGTGTGTCTGTCCTAGGATAGTGCCTGTGTGGTGGGGATGGTCAGTGGGGATGGTTGGAGAGGCTGCCTTCGCATGGTGGGGAACCCTTGGATGGCAGAGTCTGGTACCCAGGCGCCCCAGCACTGTGCTCAGGCAGATTCTGTCTTTCAGTATGGCTCCAGGGCCTTGGGTGAATCACTTACCCTCTCAGAGCCTCTGTTTCCTTTCCTGTAGAACAGAGTGGATGGCAAGTCGCTAGCATGATGCCACAATTAAAGCCTACTTATTTTTCCTGTAACAGATTGTTCTGGTGCTCCTTTCCATTCCCCTAGCCCCGAGTCTGTCTTCTTGTCCTGTGTTGATTTTGCTAGGCCAGCTTCTCAGGTCTGGGCCCCCACGCCATAGCCTGGGTGCTGGCCATGGGTGCAGAGGTTAGCTTGGGGCTTGTCCTAGGGGAGGGACTCATGGGGAGCCATGGTAGTGGAAAAGTGAAGGGCTGGTGGGCTCATGGGGTGACCGACCCTCAGTGGTGTGCTGTTTCAGAGAAACCAGTGCATTGTCCTTTAGAACAGTCATCAGGGGTGGAGAGGCAGCCTGGGAGCCTTGAGACATGGCAAAAAGTTGGTCCAGCTGTAGGGCAGAGCCCTTCCACCTTCCAGAGCTTCCTATGCAGTGTGCAGCTAAGAGTGTGAGCTGAGTCAGTCTGTCTCCCACCTGTTTTCTGGATTATAGGATGAATGGAGCCAAAGAGAAGTGGTGAGCGTGGCAGTGGCCCAGGCCCTGGAGGAGGTGCGGAAGCAACGGGAAGAACTGCAGCAGCAGGTGGGCCCTGTTTGACATGGAGGTGGTGGCCACGCGGGGCGCACCTTGAATCCCAGGAGGACTAGCCCTTCTCTGCCGTGGGATGGTCTGTCCAGGGCAGGGCTAGGTACAGGGCTCAGGGAGTACAGTCAGCGGTGTCACTGTGACCTCTAGGAAGCTGGGAAGAGGATGCTGCTAAGAAAACTCCCTGTTCCCTACATAGGAGGCCCTTTTCCGGTTGTTGATGGCCAGTTGTTAGTTGTAAATATTACTTGGGAAAAATCCACACCCAGGGACCTACCGTGCTCCGATTCTGTGATTCTGTCCTGATTCATCACAGCCCGCAGCCTCAAAGGCTACATAAGGTTGGGTGGGAACACTCAGCA